CTACCGCCCGGGCACCCGCACGCCTCTCGGCCCGGGACTTGCGCTGTGGGAGGCGCGGAGAGAGGCGCTGAGTCGAGTGCGACCCCCAAAGCAGCGTCCAGCGCGAAAGGTACGCCCCGCGGCTCTCCCTTCAGTACCACGTGGGAGGCTTGGCCGGGGGTAACGGTCACACTTTCTGGGTCTGTGTGTGCGGAGTTGCTGGTGGAGGAGGCGAGGCTCTCCCACTGAGCGAATGTGGAATTACTTTCCCGAGGCCCCTCTGCGGTCTGCGAGGACACAGGCTGGTTTTGCGATCATTGCTGCATTTTCCTTCCTCTAGCCTCCTTTCCCCCCATAACGGGAATAACAGGTGAAATGCTTACATTCTGATGGGGCTGCCTAAGGTATTCCACGTTGATTGCTCTAAATGAAACGAGATGGAAGTAGCGAGCCTTGCCGGCAGAGTCAGAGTTCCCCTGCACGGAATTTCCCGTGATCAAGCCCCGGGGTGTCCCCTGGGTGTGTCCCTTGAGAGTGCCCTTTGCACCTTCCGCGTGGGCTTGGCTCGCCACCTCTTGTTCAGTACATACGCGAGCGAGAGAGGGCATCTGACCGACAGCAAAAAGTACAATACTAAGTGCGTGTGTGGGTCACAAAGTGTTGAGTAAAAATGTGCCACATCTCTCTTCAACCCTGCTGAATTTCCGTTAGGGGCTGGGCGTTTGCTGATTTTTCATAACTTATTTGCAGCATACTGTGGAGCGCTTTGTGTATTTTTAGACAGCGCTATAATACTTAATTTGGTAATTTCGTGAATGCAGCTGTCACTGAGAACACTGAGACTCAGAAAAGATAACGGAATTTTTGGCTGAAATAAAATTCAAGTAATTGCGGAACTGAATGCATCATCTCTTTTCTCCCTCCTGCCCCCTCACGGCCTCTTGTTTGTCTTCCTGTGGTATTTACCTCACCAAGAGATAGTCAACCTAGATGCCTTCTTTTTCTTCACCCACACCCAAGTCCTTTTGATTCTAACGCTTGAGCATCTCCTCATCATATCCCCTGAGTAATGTAGGGTCTCTCCGTTTTATCATATTAAACTTAACAGCTTCCTTTCTGCCTTAAATACTTTCAAGTCATCCCTCTACACTGCTGCCAGAGTGAGTTTTCTAAAGCACACATCTGCCATTTCTCTGTATCTCTGAGTGGCTCCCAATCACCCAGAGCAGAATTTCTCAAACCCAAGTAGATACTTAGGATTCTCTTGTTAAATTAAAATATTTCAGGATGTGAAATATATGCAAATATAAAACTATATAAATTCCTTATGTTATGTCTTTTATGCAACTATAGCTTATAAATGGTTTTTAAGTTAAATTAAGCAAAACTATATAACCAATTTAAATGACTATTTATACATTGTTACCAATGAGACTTTTTGCCAGGCCAGTCATTGTTTCTTTCACATCAGTGTCTCTTCCTTTACTCTCTCTCAAAAATCAATAAAAACATATTAAAAATAAAATAAAATGCAGAAAGATTTAGGATTAAAGGGTTCATAGTCATGTTTTTAAAAAGTATTTTAGTTATTCAAAGACTGTATAGATAACAGCATAATATGTAAATAATAATTATAAATGAATATTCATATCTATCAACTTTAAAAAACACACAAAATAACCTAGAACATTACTTAAAAATTTGACATGTACTGTGTGCCCTTCCTAGGTCCTAGATCCCCCTTTCCTCTTCATATAGATAAAATATTGTTAAGTTTTCAGTGTTTTTGAACATTGTGTAAATTGAATCATACTGTATATATGTACTCTTCTATAAATTGCCCAGTTTTCCAACATTACATTTGACAAGGTACCTGAGTTCATTTCATTTATTTTTACTACTGTATAATATTTCATTGTGTGAATTTACCAGTTACCCATTTGCTACTGGCTGGGCTTTAGTGTCTTTCAGGTATTTTTATTCCTAGGAAAGTACTGCTATAGGCATTCTTAAACCTGCCTCCTGTTACACTTGTTAAAGTATATGTTTGTTTTCTGTTGCTGTGTAACAAATGACCAAAAACGAAGCAGCTTAAACCAATACCATTTATTATCCCTAATTTTTTTTCTACATGAAAAACCACTTGTCCCAGCACCACTATTGCAGAGTCTGTAATTTCTCCACAGATCTGAAATGTTAACTCTGGTTTCATATCAAGTTTACATTCATGGTCAGGTCTGTTTCTAGGCTCTGTTTTCTCTTCCATTGTTCTGTTCTTCTATCCCTAGCCTAATACCTGACCAATTTAATAGTAAAGGTTGAGAGCTGGTAGGGCAAGGCCTGTACTTATTCCTTTTCTTCAGGAATATCTTTTTGTTTTTGCAGTTTGCACTTTTATATATATATATATATGTATGTATATATATATATGTGTATATATGTATGTATATATATATATGTATGTATATATATATATATATAAAATTTCAGAAAGGAAGAGAGAGAGAGATAGAAACATCAATGATGGGAGAGAATCATTGATTGGCTGCCTCCTGCACACTCCCCACTGGGGAATCGAGCTCACAACCAGGGCATGTGCCCTGATGGGAAATCAAACTTTTACCTCCTGATGCTCAACCACTGAGCTACACCAGCCAGGCTCATACATCTTTTTGAACCTGCTTAAGTACCACAAAAAAACCTACTGGAATTTGATTAGTATAGCATTAAATCTATATATCAATTTGAAGAGAACTGACACCTTTACCATATCAAATTGTCCTGTCTATGAAGACAATATGACTCTCCATTTATTTAGATCTTTAGTGTCTTTCAATGAAGTTTAATAATTTTTCTTAAATGATTTCATATTTTGCAACTTCCTCAGTACATTTTTATATTTTTGGCCAGCATTATAAATATATTTTTTAAATTAGATTTTCTAACTATATATTTTTGATATATCGATCATCTATTTAGCAACCTTGCTAAATTTTATTTTTAATAGTAATAATTGTCATTTGTAGGGTTTGGGGAATTCTATGTAGGTAATTATGTCCTTAGAAAACTGTGACTGTTTTGTTATTTTCTTCTCAATTCTTACCTTTTATTCCTCCTTTTCTTCCATTGCTGGCTTGGATCTCTAGTGCAGTTGAATAGAACCAGTGATAGTGGACATTCTTGTCTTATACACTTTTATAAACTTCTGATATTTCACCATCAAGGATAACATTGTAGATTTTTGCTAGCCACCCTTAATCAGGTTAATGAAATTCTCTTCCATCCCATATTTGCTAAAAGTCTTATTAGATTTTTAATTGTGAGTGTTGAATTTAATCAGCTACTTTCTCTATTTGCTGAGATGATCCTATAATTGTTTTTCTTTACTCTAATAATTTGGTGAATTTCTGATAATTTTCTAGTGTTAAACCAAACGAGTTTATTTAGAGAAGTTGTGATGTGTTTGTTTTTCATACATTGTGAGATTTGGGTAGCTGCTGGCTTCATTTCTCACTCAGCTTTCTGGACCTTCGCTACCTTTTGGTCTCCAAAGATCTCTCATTCCTTCTTGCTGACTCAATGATGCAGTTAGCAAGATATATTTTTAAATATATTTAACCAGCCTCTTGTATTTCATAGTAGAAAGGTTTTTGGACTGTGAAGTTCACCAAATGATCAGAACTAAAATTCCATTTTCTTATATTGTTAGTGTAAAAGTGTCCATCCATCATTTCTTTCCATCCATCATTTCTTTATTTTTATTTATTTATTATTTTTTAAAAATATATTTTATCGATTTTTTACAGAGAGGAAGGGAGAGGGATAGAGAGTTAGAAACATCGATGAGAGAGAAACAGATCAGCTGCCTCCTGTATACCCCCTACTGGGGATGTGCCTGCAACCAAGGTACATGCCCTTGACAGCCATTCCCCCCTGGCAAGCCCCCACTGCCCTAGTGTCTGTGTCCATTGGTTATGCTAATATGGATGCACACAAGTCCTTTGGCTGCTCTCTAATCCCCTGCTTCCCCTGCCATTTGTCTCTGCCATTCATCGTTTCTTTAGTCTCTTCTTCTTGTCTCTATGGACAGCCATTTCCCTCCCAGCTGAAAACAAGGACACAGTGCTGTGTAGTAGAAAGAGCATCACACCGGGGGTTGAAAGGCACAAGTTAATAGTGCCAGCACCACTTAGTGAGATCTTGACCAAGTCACTTACTCTGAGTTTAATTCAATCATCTGCTAAGTGGGAACACTCAGGATTGAAGTGAGAATCGCAGGAGCTTATAAATGTGAACACGTTGTTGTGAGGGGAAAGGATAAGAAGCAATGATGTCAAGTATATCCTTTCCTAACATTGCTAGGAAAAAGTAACAGAAACAGGGAGTTTGGGGAGGGCAAAGGGTTGATTAGTAGAATGGAGGATTTTTTTTTTTTAGGGTGGTGAAACTATATGCATTTGTTAAAACCCGTAGAGCTTTTCAGCACAAAGAATAAACAATGTATGCAGAATTTAAGAAGATAATTAAGAGGTAGTGGGGATTCCAGGATGGAATGCAGGCTGTAACAAAAGAATCTAACTGTATTAGAAATGTAAGTGGTAACCTCCCTGAAGGGGCCAAGGAAAAGGTACTGACCTAAGTAACTTTGAAAATGAAACTAAAATAAAAGACAATAGGAACTATGCATGTGCACTAGACTCTAAGTCAGTGGTTCTCAACCTGTGGGTCGTGACCCCTTTGGAGGTCGAACGACCCTTTCACAGGGGTCGCCTAAGACCATCAGAAAACACATATATAATTACATATTGTTTTTGTGATTAATCCCTATGCTTTAATTATGTTCAATTTGTAACAATGAAAATACATCCTGCATATCAGATATTTACATTACGATTCATAACAGTAACAACATTACAGTTATGAAGTAGCAACAAAAATAATTTTATGGTTGGGGGTCACCACAACATGAGGAATTGTATTAAAGGGTCGTGGCATTAGGAAGGTTGAGAACCACTGCTTCTAAGTGAATGTTTCCCACAAAGGTATGGGTTAACAATTCTCAAACCACTATACCTCTGTAAGTGCTAAAAACAAAAACACAATGATGGGAGTGTGTCAAAAAAGGATATA